CTGCTGCCCATTCTGAGCCCCACCATGGTCGCAGAAAACGCCACGATATCAATCCAAATCTGTATCACCGCCACGGAGAATGCCCATAGCGGAGCCCCTCCGCGTGACACGGTGCGCAAGAAGCGCTCGGTACGTGAGGCTTTGATGGACTGTTGCACCCTCAGCCATGAAGAAATAAGAAAAAAGAAATAAGATCTATCACAAAAGGTCTAGTCCAACCTAACCACCATGCCACGTTTCGATCATCCAACGTCACTCTCATGCAAAAGGGAGGTGGTTCGTCCTGGAGCAAGAAAGTTCGCATCGGAGCCGGTACAAAATCAGGGCTCATGCGTTCTTGGTCCCCTTGACCACCTCGCCTTTAACCTTGGCCCAGTCGATCTCGCCATCGATCTTCTCGTCCACTTCGCCGCATGCTACCACGTTATCGCCTCGGATCAGGTACAGACCGTGCTCGATCTGAGAGCTCGGCTCGGGATCATCGGGGGTGCGAATGATTCGTTCGATGGTATCCAGGAGAACCAGGTTAGTCAACTGATCCGTGGAAAGGAGCGTCCCCAGAAGAGTCCGCCCGTCAACAGTCAGAACCAGGACTTTTTCTTTTATGGAACGCGGCGTTAGCACGGTCTGGCATAATGTTGGGATCCACCGGTCATTGGATAACTTACTATTAATATATGAGTGGAGAGACATGATGATGCGCTATAGGATTCCCTGAGGTAAAACGGGTGGGAACGACGTGCGTACTCGTGCGCGAATACGTCCGAACCGGACTGGAGCTCTGGAAAGGCGATGAGAGCTTGCTGAAGCTATCGTTCACGACCCGAGACCGCCGGGAAAGGTAAGCCGATGGAATGTAGTCGGGAGTCAAAGGAAGTCTTTGGCTCCAATTAGTTTCGGAGGGGGTTAAAGTCTATCGAATTGTAGCACGCTATCGCCGACGTTGCTGTGCAGAACCAGTGGTGGACGCGTGTAGGGAATTCGGGCTGTTGCTCTCCGGCCTCGTTAAATGTTGCGGTTAGAAGCCCATTTAAAGTAGATCAAGATAACATGCTATCCGAGACGATTGGGCAATTTATGGTGAACCAGCACAGCAGTGGTCGCAACAATGAGTTTGTTCTTTCTCCTCCGTCCAGACACTTCGATACGATTAGCCTATCACGTGACAACCCATGACCCTCTATCTTTACGGAAAACATTCAATAGCTCGAATGACGTCGCGATGTGTTGCCCCTCATATTTACTTTTGTACTTGGAAAGCATTGGAAACAAAGACAAAAATAATAAAACGTCCATTCATTGAAATGTACGTATCTAATTGTACATGAAATAAAAGCCTAAGTCAAAAGAAGAAGCTTTCGTTGCATTGCCTATTGACTACCCCGATGACAAAGTGCAACTTGAAGTCACAAAGCAGTTGGATAAGCCTCAAGTCTGTTTGTTATCTAAAACAATACCCTAGCCACTCAATGCGCTCAAATCCAATGGCACGCTGCTGCCTCGTCCAGCACGGTATCGTCTGGGGCCTCCTACAAAAGGCCGAGGCTTGGGGAATAAACCTTCGCTCTGGAACTTGAACCGAACATCTTCTACCCGGATCACCCCGTGCGCTGCTGAACCTAGAGGGCTTGACCCTGATGACGGCCCGCCGTTGCTCAGGGTGTAAGCGCTTGGATCTAATGTGGATCGATCCGGGATGTGACTAGCTGGAGGCTCGTGGGATAACGGGCGTGATGGTGGCTGGCTCGGAGGAGCACTTGGAGGAGCACTCGGAGGAGGTGGAGGGGGCGCTGAAGGCGCGGATGAAGCGGGTGGGGGCGGAGGCGGGGCTGACGGTGTCTGCTGACTGTGCCCAAAAGCGTTCCTCGCTGCTTGGACAGCTATTGATGCAGCAGCGGTTCCGTTAGGTGGTTGCGGTGCTGAGGCTGCAGGAGGCGGTGGTGGTGGTGGAGGGGTAGATCGTG